TAAACCCCGCCCCCTCGCCAGGCCCCGACCCCTTCCAGACCCCGGGGATCCTGGGAGCTGTGGACTTTTGACCTCCTGACCCCGATATCCGTCCTGGTCCAGGGGGCCCTGACCCCGTGACCACGGGTGTCAATCAATGAAGACTAAGCATCTACTTCCTGTGAGTGACTGGCGGGGCGGGGCCCCGGGTGACTGACAGCCCCACTTTTCATCTGTGAATGACAGGGGGCGGGGCTCGGAGTAACTGACAGCAGAGTAACTGGTCTGTGGCGGAGGGGGCGGGGTCGACACCAACCCTGCCTTTATGGGTGATTGACAGCTCAGGCCTCCATCACATTCCTCGGACACCGCCTCCCACGCGACCTGGGGAAGGGAGAGGGCGGGACTAACGGACCACGCCCACAGGAGCCACACCCAGCCAGAGCCACACCCACCACGGTTGGAAGCTCTGGTACTGTCCCTTGATGTGGCCCCTGAAGCCCCGCCCACTGCAGCCACGCCCACTGTTCCAGGCACCACCTGCTTCAATTCCAATGAACCCGCCCCTGTAGGCCACGCCCTCAGTCTGCCCCCAGACCAGCTCCTGCCCTGTCCTCTAGCCACGCCCTCATCCCAAGGCCCGCCCTAACAAGGGCCCCGCCCTCACCAGTTGTGCCGGCTCTGCTTTCTCCCCTATGGGGTCCTTGAGGTTTGGAGCAGGAGCAGACGCCAGAGGGTGGGGCCAACGTCAGGAGGGGCAGGGACTCAGGAGGGGCGGAGACTAAGTCAGGAGGGGCGGAGACTCAGTCAGTAGGGGCGGGGTAATTTCATACACACTGCCTTGCATGTGTGCCATAGGGTCTCCTCCCAAGGAGGGCAGGGCACTCGATGTGGGATTTGCATATTTAAACCCACCCCCTCGCTCCGCTTATTTGCATATGCAAATCGACCCCTTCCTCCAAGGGGCCACCAACAGCACCAGGGAAAGGGCGTGGCCCTGTCCTGAGTCAGCAGAGCAGCAGCAGCGTCACCAGCGCCGTCAGCCCCGCCCACACTGACACACGCATCGCCACAATCGCCACTGTCACCTGGCTCCTGACGTCACAGGGCGGGGGGCGTGGCCAGCGCTGCCAGGAGACACAGGGCAGCGGCCATGAGGGGCAGTGGGAACCGGAAGACGCCGGGTATGGCCAGAAATGGAGGTCCGGAAGCCTGTGTGTGGGGGGTAGGGCAGTCAAGGGAGAGGCAGATGAGGTCACCGCAGCCACGCCCACCGCGGGCCCCACCCTTAATCTCCCCTCGGCGGCCCTAGAGCTAGAGATGCCCAGAGGGAGGGCAGGGGCCTGTGATGAAGTCTCCGCCCCGGAAACCTGGAAGGAGCCAGGTATCCCACCGGAATACATAATTCAACCCAGGCTCCGCCCACGGGGGCGGGGACTCTGTCAGAGGTGACGTCACTGCCCTGCCCAGCCCACATGCCGATCGGAAGGAGCCACAAACACGCATGTCCTGGCCCCCATCCCGTCGCCATCAATCACCGCGGGATCCGCCCACAGGGGGTGGGGACACGGAGGCGGTGACGTCACTGCCGGGGCCCGCTCCCTCCCACAGACCATCGCGCCAACTTCAGTGAAAGCCCGAATTCCCCCTGGCAGTCCTCAATCACCGCCGTAGCGTGATGTCATCGCGCCACCCGCGGGGCCCGCCCACCGCCGCCTCAGGCTCCGCCCACCCCGGTAGCTGCCAGGGAAGCTGACCTTAGGAGTTGGCCACGCCCCCTGAGGGGTCACGCTGGAGTCCCGGCCGCCCAGTCCCACCCCGTCCCTGAGGCCACGCCCAGTCTCCTCCCGAGGCCCCGCCCCTCGCCTCCAAGCTCCTCCCTGTGCCCCCGAGGCCCCGCCCCGAGCCCCGAGCCCCCGCCCCTAACCTGGCATTGGCGCCTTGCCCACCCCATTTATACTATTATAGGTTATGTAACTTTCTGCGGGGCCGGGAACTTGCCTGGAAGAAGGGGTGAAGTCAGCGGCCAGGGGCCCGGGGCGGGGCTCCGTGGGGCGGGGCTCCATGAGGCGGGGCTCCGGGAGGCAGGGCCGGGTGTCCATTTGAGGCTGCCCCAGAGGGACTTCCGGGAGGCTCATGTCAATCAGAGGGAAAGAGGGAGGGACTTCTGCGACCAGCACAAAGGCGAGTATCCCCGAGAGGCTTCGGCTTTTCCATCAATCAGTCGCAGGAGGGAGGGACTTCTGCGTCTCCCCTGTCCGTCAAAGAGGAGCGGGCGGGACTTCCGGGACCATTAACTGAGGCGGGAATCCCTGAGGGCCTTCGGTTTCCTGGTGATAGGCGGCGACCGTCAATCAGCCCTGGAGTGGAGGGACTTCTGGGTGATCTCCCTGCTTCCTGTCCATCACCCACAGAGAGGCCCCTGTCCTTCAAAGGAAAGTGGGCGGGACTTCCGGGACCAGAGACCGAGGCAGAGGCATATAAAACCGCAGACCCGGTTCCTCTCATGAATATGCAAATGAGAGCCCAGATCGGCTTTCCTTGGCCGCTCATTAATATGCAAATGAGCAGCAATGTGCATTTCCCCCAAGCTCCAGGAATGGGGCGGGGCCAGACAGGAAGCGGGATGTGGTGGGGTGGGGGTCAGGTGACTGTGGGGCGTGGTGACGTCAGGAGACGGCAGCGATGACGTCATGGCTGTTCTTACCGCTGTCGCCGTTATTATTATTACTGCTCTGGCTGCCGCTATCTGGTTGTTTGTCGTCCCTGTGCTCGCCGTGCCGGCCCCGCCCCCGCCATGGGAACCCCGTGACCCCGCCCGGGCCACGCCCCACGAGAATCCACAGAGGAAAACGCGGGTTTTCTCCTATTATTTGTTATATGTAAATCAGGGGCGGGGCCTGACTCACAGGGGCGGAGTCATAGGGACATGGGCGGGGCCAGAGTCACTGAGGGCGGAGTCACAGAGACATGGGCGGGGCCTGGAGAGAGGGTGGTGTCACAGGATCGGGGAGAGTCCACAGATGCAGGGGGAGGAGTCACAGGGCCTTTAAGGGAGGGGCCAGAGGCAGAGGGGAGGAGTCTAGGGTTGCGAGGCAGGGCCACGGACACAGGAGGCAGGAAGCAGTCATAGGGGGCGGAGTCACAGGGAGGCAACCAAGGACACAGGGAGGCGACCAAGGGCACAGGGGCGGGGTTATGGTGCGGGGCCGGGGAGGCAGAGCTGTCCTCACTTCAGCTTCACTAATTCACCCCAGGTCATTCGTTCGTTCACCCCCAGCTACTCACCCAGCTCCATCTACAGAGTACAACCCCTACTGTTATTAGTGTTACTAGTGTTATTAATTTTTATTATTGTTATTCGTTATTATTATTGAGTATTTATTTCATTATTGTTATTATTAATTATTGTTAATGTTTATACTTAATGTTTTTGTTATTATCTGTTATTGTTTTTATTGTTATTCGTTATTATTATTAATTATTATTTTTACTGATTGTTATTATTGCTTTGTTATTCATTATTATTATTGTTATTATTGCGTCATTTTGGTTATTATTTTATTATTTGTGGTATTATTATTTTATTATGATTATTATTTAATTACTATTTTATTATTTGCATTATTGCCATTATTTTATTATTATTGTTTTTATTTGTATCATTTGTGTTTTTATTATTTTTATTGATTGTCTTATTGTTTTTGCTATTATTTTTATTATCACACACACAGACGTCTGCACACGTACGCGTGATTCACACACAGCATACACGGCATTTGCACACACACTCGTGATTCACACATGGCAGGGACGCCCATGTCATTCGTGATTACATGCACACACGTCTGCAGACACACATGCATGATTCACACACAGCACACATGGTAAATATGTATGTGTGTGTATGTATGTATGTATGTATGCATGTCTGACTGTATATAGATTATATATCATGTGTATGTATTTAAGAAAGTATGTATGTGTGTCTGACTGTGTGTAGGCTATGTAGCGTGTGTATGTATGTAAGCATGTATGTGTGCATGTCTAACTATGTGTAGATTATGTAGCATGAGTATGTATGTAAGCACGTATGTGTGTATGCATGTACGTGTGTCTGTGTTTCTTATCATGGCCGGGGAGTCCAGGAGACGATGTCAGAGACCCTGTCACGTGAGTTACACGCAGCAGTGAGCTTCTTTACACAGGCTGACTGACGTGACTTACACGCAGCAGTGAGCTTCTTTACAGATGATGAGTCACGTGAGTTACACGCAGCAGTGAGCTTCTTTACATATGAGTGACGTGAGTTACACACAGCAGTGAGCTTATTTACATATGATGAATGATGTGAGTTACACGCAGCAGCGAGCTTCTCTGTACATGAAGAATGGAAGCTGTATGTGTGTCAGAGCCCCCAACACGGGAGTTACATGCAGAAGTGAGCTTCTCTAGACACATGAGTTACAAGCAGTTTTCTACTTTTTATTAGTTTGTTTGTTTGATTTTCTGAGACACAGTTTCTCTGTGTAACAGCTCTGGTCATACCACTGTGCTGGCCTCGAGCTCACAGAGATCCGCCTGCCTGTGACTCCCATGTGCCGGGATTAAACACGTGCGCCACCACCACCTGGCATGTTTTCTATTATTGATTATGTTTCCTGTCCAAGGCAGCCTGGTCAGGGTCAGGCACCAGATGCTGATTAGAAAGGAGAATTCTGCTCCATTGAAGAGAATGAGCGTCAGGCAGCGATGAGCTCCATAACTGTTTACGCAATGAAACACGGTAAGGCGATCATCCACATATGTACAACACACAAAAAATGATGGAGCTGAGATGGGCGTTGGACGTGTGCATGTTTGCGTTTAATCCCAGCACTCGGGAGGCAGAGGCAGGCGGATCTCTGTGAGTTCGAGGCCAGCCTGGTCTACAGAGCGAGTTCCAGGACAGCCTCCAAAGCCACAGAGAAAACCTGTCTTGGGGAAAAAACAAAAACAAAAAAGAAAACAACATGTAACTGGTCATGTCCATGTATTTCAGTCTACTTCTTCACCCACGCATACCAAGGAAGCAGTTGGAAGAGATTTGGGAAGGGATGGAATCAAAAGATAAAAGCAGAAATTGGTGTAATACATTCTAGTTATCAGTTTGCAGAAATAACTTTTAAATAAAAAGATGCACTAGAGAGATGGCTCAGCAATTCAGAGCACTTGGTGTTGTTACAGAGGACCCGGGTTCCATTTCCAGAACGCATGCCAGTTAACCATTTGCTGTAACTCCAGTCCCAGGCATCTCCTGCCTTCTTCCCACCTCTGTAAGTACTGTGCACAGACAGATGTGGGGAAAACACCCATTATAATTAAATTTTTAACAAGTTAGAAAACAAAAGGAATGGAATTTTCTACAGGGGTGTGACAGCCCCGAGACAGACAGCAGCCAGGGCCAGTTACAATGAACTCCTTATGGTGTTGCATGGAAGCAGCTGTGACGTTCTCCCGAGTCAGCCTGCTCAGAGGCAAAAGCAGCTTTGTTCTGAGGTTAACAGAGATCATCACAATCATTAATCTAAGAGCATAGTACAAAGTGCTGTTACCTGACTTTTCCCTGAAGTTTTCTGCATTTTTGTCATCTATTCTAACTGTGAGAATCGTGTCATTGATACAGTTAATTTTTAGATCACCCATCAAGATTGATGGGTAGCATAGGATCTAAAACATTTTGTCATATAATTTATTTTCAGCTAAGATATTGTGGTTCAAAATGAACTTGCCATTCTTTCTATCATTTTTTGATTTATATATGTCCCAGCATGACTTTGAGGTAAGAATATCCCTAAATGTCTTTCATTCTACATTATGATCATGTTCAGAAGTAAATTTGATAATTGAGCATACTTAGGAATAGGAAGAAACCTGCATGAATGTGTCTAGGCTCATTAAGTAAAATCCCCATGCTTCCTTTGCTTAGGAAAAGAGTGGTTTTTGAAATATCGCCCATACCCTCCTTGCTTCCTGAAGGTAAGAGTTCTTTCTCCTTTCTTCTGTCTTGGCTGTTGGGATGACCATTGTTGGTAGTCAAACTTACCTCTGGAATTAACTAAAACCCAAACAGTTGGGTCACCTGTGAAGGATTTTTCTTGAAGGTTTTGAAATTAAAAATGTGTTTTTAATATGGATAATATGAATTAATAAGAGTCACCTTTACCTGATTGGCAGCAGTGCATTTCTTTAACCCCAGCACTCAGGAGGCAGAGGCATTTGGATTTTCTGAATTTGAGGCCAGCCTGGTTTGCAAAATGAGTTCCAGGGCTACAGAGACAAACCCTGTCTCTAAAACAGCATAAAACAATCAAACAAAGAAAAAGATCCACCTTTACTCCAGACCACACCTTCTGGTAGCAGCTGACATACATAAAGGATGTTGAAGAAGGAAGCTCTCTGCCTGCTTGCGCTACCTCTAGCTGCCATCACTAGCATTACAACCTATTTCTTTGGAATTTTGCTGTATACCAAAGAGCAGCTGAGACATCCAGCACCATGGGCTGAACTCCTGGACTCTTCAAATTTCCATTGATAGGCAGCCATTGTTGGACTACTTGGATGACACCTTATGACACATTCTCCATTCTAATAAATCCACTTTCTACGTACATGGAGAGACTCATTCTATCAGTCCTGCTCATGTAGAGAACCTAGAATAATCCAGTTGTTGTTGTTGTTGTTTTTCTTACCTGTTCACAGAGGAAAATGTGCTGGCTAACAATAGTGATCATGAACATGTTGTCCCTAGCTCCATTATTCTCTTAAGTGTTCAGTTTTCCATGAAGACTCCTCTTTAGGGGATGGTGAGATGGCTCAGTGGTTAAGAGCACTGGCTGCTCTTCCAGAGAACCTAGGTTCAAGTCCCAGCACCCACATGGCAACTCACAACTGTCTATGACTCCAATTCCAGGGGATCTGACACCTTCTTATAGACATACATGCAAACAAAACACCAGTGCACATAAACTAAGAGTCATTTACAAATGGATAAAGAAAGATAATGTGGGGACACCAGACCTTGAGCAGAGACCCATTTCCCCTTCAGCCTGGGAGTAGGCACTCCTCATTTAAAAATTTTATAATGTGAATGCCAGTGAGCTTCAGACAGATTCTGGCATGATGGAACTTGAGCAACCATTGTTCAGGTCAAATGGAGACATCCATGCACTAGACAGTGGAGAAGACCCTAATTTGGGGTCGAGGCCATGTTTGTGTTTTGTTGTAGGAAAAGAATACAGCTTCGGCAGCTGTCAGACCATTTAGTGAGATGCATGGACCAGAGAAAAACTGGACTTGAGACCATGGGAGCATACCTAAGCCAGTTTGAGTGAGATCTCCTAAATCAGTGTTCCTGACCCTTGATGTCATCGAATCTAGAGCCCAAGAAAGAAAGAAAACAGTCAGTTCGAGATTTCCAGTTTCTCAACAGACCTGCTACATCAACCTTCCGGACCCATGAGTTTTCATCCTGAAGCCAACAGAGAAAAAAGGACCCATTTAAAACATTTGGACATTGGTATGGACTGTGATGAGTGGCAAAAGCCTCTTTTCAGTATTTGAACAGGGCATGGTCACTTGAAATATCAGACTTGATGGTTCCTGTTTCTGGAGTCACGACTAGGCCAGTGTATTTTTCTGGAGAAATGCAACTTGTCCTAATGTGACAACTATTTTTCATATTTTTTAATGCTGCATGTGTAACATCAATGATTGTACCTAATGTATCTGTGCAAGTGCACTTTCTAAATGCTTTCCTGAGCAGATCTTTGAACGATTGTAAACTTTATCAAATTGTAAATGTAAATCACATGCGGGTTACCTTTGTAACAGAATGTAAATCACGTGCAGGTAGAAAGTTATGGCCCAGATCTGGTGATGGGTATGGTGATGGAGAGGCGCTATGTCAATGAGGGTCCTGGAAATGATGGTAGTGGCGGTAGGCATTCTGGCTTTATGCCGAGCTCAAACATGCCCTGTTCCAGAGGCAAGAGATCTGTAACCAAGGGTTGCTTAGCTTAGCCCATGGCAATCCCGATAGCCATGAAGGTTGGTTACAGATGAATTAAGGTTGGGGTGACTCCATCAACGGGAAACTTGTGAGGAAGACCCCTCCCACCTAAGACAGGGGTTCAAGGTCCCCCGAAGACGGGCAAGGGAGGGTGACCCTACTTGACCTAAGCCAGGAGTGCGTCATTTGAAAATAAGAAGGGGTGAATTGTGGGGACACCAGACCTTGAGCAGAGACCCACTTCCCCTTCAGCCTGGGAGTAGGCAGCTGTAAGACAATGTTTACTAAAAACATGTTTACTAAAAACAATACAATGCCCGGGGCAATAAGTTCCTGGAAAAGGCCTGCCCACAGAAACCGCCCTGACCTCGACCTTGTCCAAAGACTAACAGCACCTTCAGACCCACCCACATCCACCTCTGGTGTCAGAGCAGAACCAGCCAGGGTAGAGGAGAGAGCAGAAGCTTCTCTGGAGGGAGCCTTTCTAAAGAAGTTTTCTTGAACCTTTTTGGGGCCTGCTTAAAGTTTTCTTTACATCGTTGAACGAGTCTCTGTGTTGTCAATCCCCGACACCCTCCGCACGTTCTCGGACACAGGCTGTGCGGCAGACGCGAAAGATAACTCCTTATTCATTCAGAGTTTTCTCTGAATCTCTGGCTCTTAAAGCAATGGAGCCATCTTCCAGCCTTTTAATTGAAGAAAAACCTATTTTCTTGTTTGACATCTGGTTCCTGCTTTTCTTTGCCAGTTGTCTGAAGTCCCAGTGACAACCAGGAAAAAAGTATGTTTAGTTCATCTGACCAAAGTACGAAACTACAGAACAAACATCTACTTTTTTGTCTTGAAGTCTCTCTCTAGCTGTTAATATTCCGGGCACCCTTCCACCTGTGGGACAGGGAATAATCACTTGACTGCATTGACTAGCGGTCTGTGCAAGATATCTATCCACATTGTGTACAGGAGGAGGAAGGGAGTGCAGGAAGACAGCAGGGTCTGCTATTGGAGCCCAGGCCAAATGCATCTATAGAAATGCAGATCTCTGCTGATCTAGAAAAGGTCTTTTTTTCGAGTGGAAAGCAGGATAAGGAATCATTATTCTGCATCCTTAAGGACAGTGTAACATGATAAGAGGTGATCCTGTCACTCAGGCCTCACTAGCCAACTAGCCCCTAGGCAACTTGCCAGTCAGGGCCCTTCTGGGAGTCAGTTTCAGGCTTGTCTTTGAACAGGAGCAGGAGTCATTTTTTGTGTTCTGTGCTGAGAGTATTGCACCAGGAAGCTGAGTGGAGAGCATGGGTGAGCTTGGTGACCACAACATAGTGAGTGATGGGTAGCTGTTGCCAGATGGGAGATGCAGATGGTGAGGGTTTGGTGCATCCTCCACAGACCTGAGTGGGAACCTGCAGCCAGATTCCCTGACCTATGAGGTTCCATGTGGTCCTTGCAACTCCCTGACCCCAGATGCAGGCCTCTGAGTAACTTTGCCTTGTGTTCTGAGTCTGCTCAGAGAATTGGGAACAGCAAGCTGTGTGTAGAAACATCTAGGCAGTCAACATCAACATGCTTTTCGTGCATCAGTGGAAAGGTTGCCAAGCTTGGAGAGGCCTTGTTTTATTTTATCTTCTAGACATTTGCATTTTACCTTTATGCATAAACATCCAATATTGTGGTTATTGTAAAAGGAATCACATGTGTTTGGTTGCCTTGGTGTAGAAGAGTAGAATTGTTGGTATAAAGGATTTGCTGATGCTTAGTAAATAAATAGTAAGTCTCATGAAGTAGAATTTCACTGAGGGGGGACTGCCTCTAAGACACCCAAAAGATAAGTGTATGCTAACCAGGCCTGTTAGACTTTATGATGCTCTGGGTTGTGGTGGCACATGCTTTTAATCCCAGCACTCAGGAGGCAGATCTCTGTGAGTTCAAGACCAGCCTGGTCTACAGAGCAAGTTCCAAGATAGCCTCCAAAACCACAGAAAAACCCTATCTTGGAAAAATCAGAGAGAGAGAGAGAGAGAGAAGAGAGAGAAGGAGAGAGAGATTAGAATGCTAGGATATACATTTGTTCTTTAGGATTGTGACATTTGGCTCTAAACCATTACAAAGAAGCCTCTGATTTACAACCAGTCACAAGTCTCATCCCCAAATCAAAGAACAGGCCTTTAACAAGCTGCTCAGGGAGACATTACAGGGTCACAACAACCTTAAGGCCTGGTGAGCCATAAAGTTACAATTTTCTTCATGAGAAAAGCATAGTTCTGCCAGATGGGCAACAGGATACCAGGTGACAACTATATTTGGGGGGGTTAGAGTGCTGGGATGAAAGGCAAGAACCACCACTGCCCAGCAAGGTGACAACTATTTGAAAAGCAAATCATGATTGTGTTAAGGCCCTACCTAATCAGGCAGGGCTTTCATTTAGGCCCTCAGGCAGGGAGGAGGAACATTCTTAGGATAACTGGTAACAGGCTGGAGTGTAGGTCTTGGGAGGGTTCCCTATGGGCCTGGTGTATTGACAATAAAGCAGAGCTCTTTATCTTAAACAGGGATTTTGCCTGGGAGAGCTGGTAATGGTCTGGGGCCAGGGCTTTGTGGAGTGTTTGTGGAGTTTCTCAATATGTGGAGATACAGTTATCAGTCCCAAGGTTACTGTGGGTTAATCAGTAATGTTCTCTTTTTTTGTTTTTTTTTCTGTTTGATTTTCTGAGAGGGCTTCTCTGTGGCTTTGGAGCCTGTCCTGGAACTCACTCTTGTAGACTAATACGGTCTTGAACTCACAGAGATCTGCCTGCCTCTGCCTCCCGAGGGCTGGGAGGAAAGTTTTACACCCCAATGCCCTGCAAGAAATGTTCTTGAGATACTCCATGTTCCACTTGTGTAGTGTCATTGGAGTAGCCACCTCCTGAATTTGTCCCCTCTTATGATGCTTCCTAATATTTCATAGACTTTTCCTTTTCCTTCCATTCAC